TGGGGGGTGGAAGGGGCACGTGGGGGTGAGATTCACCACACAGCCAAGCAACAGGAGTTCGTCCATGCTGAATTCAAAGGAGGTGAAGGCAGAAAGCACCCAGGGGTGCTGTCAGAGATGGGACAAAAGGCTGACTGCCCACTCCCTTATGAATGCATCTTGCCCCGGCCCGGCTAGTTCTGTCCCGCTGGAGCTCACGGTGCTTGCTGGCTGCACTGGTTTTCTTCACGTAAGCAAAAGCTTGAGCCCTGAGCCCAGGGTCGGACAGCTCTGCAAAGCCCCTGGGCCAGCATGGATCAGACAAGGCTTCCCAGCTGTCAGAGCGGGACAGCACCTGAAGCTGCAATTGCCTTCCCTGGAGGTTTCCAAGCAGAGGCTGGATGAGCATGCACCTGGGACAGGTGAGGACCAGTGCAGGGGACTGCACGTGACAATCCTTAAGGCTCTCCTGACCCCACAATTTCCACGGGTGACGGAGCAGACTCAAGCCCACCCTGAGAGCCCCCAGGATCCTGCACCACATCTGAAAAGGTGTTTGCCCCAAAATGCATGTGTGCAGCTGAGCAGGGACTGCATGTGAGCGGGCACCTGTGACGTGCTCGGAAAGGGGACACGCTGCCCCTCACAGAGCGGGTGCCCCGTGAAGGGGACAACTGGTACCAGCCAGGGGTGGTCTAGCAGCAGGGTCTGGGCTGCGGTGTTACAGCTCCCAGGAGCAACCCCCAGCCCAGGGGGCACAAGGGCACAAGGCTTGGGGGTGTCTGACCTCTCACTGGCACCACCCAGGTGACCCTGCTCTGACCACACCGGGCTGGGGTTTCACAGGCAGGCTTGTCCAGGAGACGACTAGCACCCCTGGCTCCTGGTGTGACAGAGGTTGGGCTAGCTGGGCTGGGCTAGCCTTCCTGTGGCACTCCTGGGCACACACGGAGGTCAGGCCCCTGCCGCCCGGCACTGCACGCACTTCCCGCGCAACTGGCTCCTGACCCGAGAGCTCAGGCTTGGAGCAGGAGTGCTGATGCCATGGGGGAGAGGAAGAGAAGCGATGCACGAAGCTGTTATTCAGGACTCTCTCTGCTAGCCAAGCAGGGGAACCTCTGGGGTAGGAAAAGGGGTTGTGCTTGGCAGCGGAGGCAGGACTGAAGTATCAGTGAGGATGGGATTACCAGGCCTGAGAGATGGGCTGGTCGGTGATCTGCTGCCTCAGGTGGGTCACAGCCTCCACTGAGCTCAACCAGCGCCACGGCACCAGGCCTGGGGCCAGCCTAAACCCGGGCCCCCGGCGCACGTCAGCATGGCGAACACATGGGACTTACCCTGGGCTGGGTTGGGCTGCTGGCTGATCCCCTGGCCCAGCTGATCCGTGAGCCACAGCTGCATCCGGATGAATGGCTCCCGGCCCTTCTGAGTCAGCTTGCTCCACGGCTTGGGCCTGGACAGCATGTCGCTCACACTCCCCTGGGACAAGCCCAGCACCTAGGGCACAGGTTGAAGGGAAGGGCTGGGGCTACCGGGCAGCAGGCGTCTGATACCCCCAAGAGGCTCCTGGGGAACGCGGCCACCAAGCCGGAGGGGGGCGCTAGGCGTGGGGTGAGCCCAGGGCGTCAGGGAGCTGTCACCCAGCCCCTCTGTGCGGGGGGCTCCTTACTGGCTTGCTCCCTGGCCCCACAAGTGGGAGAGGCTGTGGCACTGCACACCCAGGACACTGAGGGAGACGGCCAAGAGGCTCACACCACCCCCGCACCTTCCTCCAAGGGTTGCACTGCGCGCCCACAACCCCAGGGGAGGATGGCATCACACCGGCCCCACGTCCCAGCATAGGGCCCTACGCCCCACCGAGGCTGGGGGATGTGCCAAGGCGGCCTGATGGGCACGGCGTGCTGGGGAGTACTTCCCTACGGGCCCTGCACAGGGGATCACCCTGGAACAGACACGTGGTCAGCAGGGGCCAGGCCACGTCGCCAGGACAGCAGCAGCCTGGGTCCACTGCTCCCTCTCCAGGGAAGTACCTTCTCCCCGAAGATCCGCTGACAGATGCCGTTCTTGGCCAGCTTCTCCTTCACCTGCCGGGTCAGCTCCAAGGTGTCCACCTCCCGGTACATGTACATCTCGTACTGCTCCGGTGTCAGCGGGGGGACCGTGGGCTTGAGCGTCCGCGGCACGTAGGCAGGGTAGTAGGAGAGGCGGCCAGCGCTCTGCGGCTCTGAGCTGCCCCCTTCTGACTTCATCTCTGTGGTCTTGTGGGGCTCCTCCTCCCCCAGGGCCAGCTCCTCCTCGGTGGGGGCACTCTCGCTCGGCTCCCCCCGTGGCCAGGCCCGGCCGTTGGCCAGGCTCGAGTAGCTCGAGGAGGAGGAGAGCGAAGGGGACACGGCGGTGTAGGGTCGGTTCAGCACGCTCCTCTCCGAAGCCCAGTGCTGGTCGAAGTAGGAGCCGGCGTCGCCGATCTCGGACTTCACCTTGCGGATGATGCTCTGCACGAAGGCGGCGGGGGACAGGACTGTGAGCGACGCCTGGGTGGAGCTGGGGCTGGCACCCACCGCCCCCTCCTCCTGCTTGATGTAGGCCTGGACGATGTTCTGGCTGACGGCAGCCAAGGTGGAGCGCTCTGCGGGTGGGGTGGGGATGGGCCGGCCGTTGCTGCCCGACTCAATCTCCAGCAGGGCCTGCTGCTGGGCCTGCATCTCCCGCCGCGCCTGCTCCAGGATGCTTTTAATGGCGTCCTCCGAGTTGCTGGTGCTGGTGCCATTGGTGACTACCTGGGGGGCTGTGGAGCTTTTGGTTTCACCTGGAAGCAGAGAAAGCCGAGCGGAGTGAGTGGAGGCTCTCCCGCTGGGCAAAGCAGCCCGCGCCCCGCTGGGGTGGGGTCCCTGCGGGAACGGGGATCAAAGCCTCCCTGCTACTTCCGAGGGCACAGCGGGGGTGGCCTCCCTGACCTGATGGGTGCCATGAGCCAGGTCGACAAGCCTGGTGGGGTAGAGGCTCAGCCCGAGAAAGCCCCACCTCCATTCCTGACTCACTGCAGAGCCCTGGACAAAGCACATTGCCCTCTGTGCCTCGGTTTCCCTTTCTGGAAAAAGGGGTTAAGGCTACTTCCCCTTCTTTTGAAAGGAGCTCCGAGAGCTATCAACCACAAGTCCAGCCACTGCTTGGCAGCGCAGGATCACTACCCGGGCAAAGCCCAACCAACAGGAAGGATCTGCTGGTTACAATGCCCTCGGACGACGCAGGCGGTGATGTGTCTGCATAGTGCCAGGCAGGTAGGTCGGGACTCTCATAATCACAGAATCATAGAAAATTCAGGTTGGAGAGACCTCAGGTCACATCTAGTCCAACCCCCTGCTCAGAGCAGGACCAGCCCCAACTACATCGTCCCAGCCAAGGTTTGTCTAGCCGGGTCTTGAAAACCTCCAAGGATGGAGACTCCACCACCTCTCTGGGGAGCCTGGTCCAGCGTTTTACTGCCCTTCTAGTGAGAAAATTCTCCCTAATGTCTAACCTCAACTTCCCTTGCTGCAACTGGAGCCCATTGCTCCTTGTCCTGTCATCCGCTCCCACTGAGCACAGTCCAGCTCCAGCCTCTTCCAAACCCCCCTAATACGAGCAACCGATCGATTCTGACTACTGCTTTTGCCCCTTCAATCCTGCGGTCCCTGCTGCGGGGTCCTCTCTGCAGCACAGGGCCTGGCCTGCAATGTCCTTGCTTTGCTTTGTTTTAACTTCCCTCTGCCTCATCGTGTCAGCACGTGAGCCACCACCCCGCTGCTGGCCGTGACGTTCCTGCTGCGCGGACCCGAGCAGGGTCGTGCCGTGTCCACGCTGGCTGCTAGAACCAACTTGCTGCACCCCTGGATTATCCAGGCAGCGGCACATCTATGCCCACAAGGCACGGGGGGGGTCTCACACTGCGCCTACTTTTCAGCACGTTGTTCTTGCATCTTCCCCTAACATGACCCCAGGGGAAGGGGTTTACTTCTGTCCAATTCATAACCATCACCTGGAAGCAGGCATCCAGCACGGAAAATTTCAGCACCACTGGGGCTGATTTGGAAAGTCCTGAGTCTAGGAAATCAGTGGGGTGGGGTGGACACGGGAGACGACACCTCCTGCACCTTTCTCTACAGCTGGTTCCCTGTTTCTACAGCCACGGGAGACGCTCCATTGACGATCACGGCACTAGACAAGCCCGCCTGTTTTCTACCATCCCCATCTACCTTAATTCCCAGGGACTCTGCTTTCTCACCAGACTACCTGTACTAATGTTTTCCCTTGCTTGCAACTGGCTGTGAACACAGCTGATTTAACTGTTCCTCATGCCATATGGACCGCGCATGCTCATGCAAGCGTCTGCCTCTGGAAGAGAGGAGGTTAGAGTCTAAGCTTTTGAAACGACCAGCCGTGAGACCAGCCCAGATTATGCGCGGCCTGGTGCGGTTAGGAGGGGAAGGAGTTCTCCGAGCCGGGCAAATGGGTTTCCTCCCTAACGGGGTTCAATGCAGTGTTTTCATTGCTCTTCACAAAACCTCTCAGCCTGTCCCAAGTCCAGCCTGAACACCCGCTTCTCATCACGGTGGTGGATTGCCTGAAGTGACGCTGTCTTGGCTTTTAGAAATACAGATGCAAAGTGATGGTAAGATAATGCTGTCCCGTGCTTGATTATCTGTTAAAAATGCAAAACTACAAGAAAAAGCCTAGTGATGACATCACTTCCCCAGCACGCGATGACTCTATGCCTTGTGCTCAGCAGAGGGCAGCAGACACCGCGCCAGCCTCTGCAGGTGGATTGGGCCCCAAAGGCTGGACATGCATCTTGTTGGGACCTAAGAGTATCGCCAGAGTCATCAGAAGTGGGAACCGGCAGGCTAGGGACCGCAGGGCCAACATTTTCAAACCCGGGGACCTGGAGCAAGGCCCTCAACTCAGCACGCGCTGTAGGCAGCTGCAGAAAGCTGAAAAATCCTGTCCCTAAAAGTTTAACAAACCGTTCGAGGGCCAAAGGCAGCTAGGGATTTTGGGGGGTTTCTCCCATTCGTGATGTCTTAAAAGGCGTTGTGTCCTGCACACCACGCCCGGCTGAGCCTCTGGTGACTCAAGAACCCGGAGGCATGAGGGATCCCTGCAGAAAATCCTGGCTCTCGCCTAAAAACCGATCCAGGTGCTGATGATGGAAAGGACATGGACGGATTTCTTAATGGATGCTTTCTCCCTCTGTGCATTTTCTAACTGGGGGTCATGGACAGACACAGGACACAAATGAAATGGGGCAGAAGGGCTCCCTGCACACCGGCTGCTCTGCGGTAACTGCTCCGCGGCTCTGCTCTACCCCATGGCACAGGGGAGCTAAGTAGCGCTAGCGGCTGCTGCAAGTGGGGGCGAGCAGTCCCGGTTCAGCTCTCACTTACCACCGGCTAACAGTGGACACACAACACCGGCTGCCCTGCGGTAAGTTCCCCACCTTTACCTGGGTATAAAATGTGCTCGTCTGTCCAGGCCCTTGAACAGGTAGGGGCAGGATCCTTTTCTGGCTCTCATGCACTAGCACGAGGCTGCTATGTGGGTCTGGCACATGGCTCGGGAGCACTCTAGCAGACAAGTTCCTTCCCGCTGGGGCTTAAGGGATTAAAAAAAATAATCCTGGTGCCGTAACTCTTGGCCTTCACTTTTCAAAACCTAGTTCTTAGGAAAACATCCCCAGGAGAATGGGAAAGCAGGTGGCCCAGGGGAAGGGGGTATGAAGGGAGTGAGCTCCTAGATGGCTCCTGGCCTGGCTGGTGCCTGCACCCTCACCTGGCCCCAAGGACAGAGCTGTTTCCAGCTTGGTGACTCCTGTGGCGCCTGCGGCACCTACCTCCCTTCTGGGACTCGATCTCCTTCTTGGCCTGCTCCAGGATGCTTTTGATGGCGTCGTCAGAGCCGGTCTCTGGAGTTCGAATCCGTGGAGTGATGCTACCTGATTGCAGAGGTGGGAAAGCGGGTCTGTCACTGGCACTGCGGCTGCAGGTGCCACTGGGGGTCAGGAAGGATTTATTGCTGCTCGGCGCGGCTGTTTGCACGCATGTCAGGTCTGAAGGAGCCGTCGCTCCCGACCAGTTGTTGGCTGGAGTGAAGAGCCTGGGCACCGGCCCAGCAGCTTTCACCTCTTCCGTTCCCCCCCGGCGCAGCACGGAGGCGCTGCTCCCCTCACCTTCTCATCTACGAGGCACAGGGATCCTGCTCCTAACGGGGCGTGGAGTGGGCGTGGGCACTGGGGCAAGCTCTGGATTGTGGTAGCCACAGGGCAGAGGAAACATCAGGGCCGATTCTCCACCCTGGGGGCACGGGGTAGGGCCCTACCTCCTTGCTCAGGTGGCTCAAGGGAAGGCAAGCCAACTGCAGCCAGCTCAAAGGAGGCAGGGGCTTGCTAGGGAGTATCAGTGCACCTGCTTTTACCTCCCAGATGTAAGAGCCCAACCATGTCCATCAGGGCACGAGTGGGCAGGTGGGCGGTCACCCCAGGGCAGTGGCTGCCCGCAACGCACCCACCCTCTTCACCTCGCTGTACATTGTCAGTCCGCCCTGGCCCGAAGGAAGGGGCCCGATTCCCAGCCCCGTAATGTAGAGCCCGAGGCCTCCTTTCTAGAAGTGCAAACAGATACTACCCTGCATGCCCTCTGCACGTGCCCCCCAGTCCCCTGCCTGCTGCTGAGGGGAGAAGACCCTCAGTGCCACTCACCTCTCTGGCGCACCTGAATCGTCCTCAGCGCCAGCACGTTCTGCTCGTCCGACAGGAACTGCTTCATCTTGATGAAGGGCTCCTTGCCCTTGACGGTGAGCTTGCGCCAGGGCTTGGGCCGGGCCAGGATCTCACTGACGGAGCCCTGCGAGAGCCCCAGCACGTAGTGCCCGAAGACGCGCTGCCCGATGTTGTGCTTCAGGAGCTGCTCCTTCACCTGGAAGGCGATCTCGGCCGTGTCCAGCTGTTCCTCGTCAGCCGAGCCCGTGCTACTTCCCTCCGACTGGTCGCTGGGTGGGCTGGCGTCACTGGCAGGTGCGGTGGGTGCCGGCGGGGCACTGTTGGCGGGCAGCACGCTGCCCTTGGTGGGGAAGTAGGGGGAGGGGAAGGGCAGCAGGCCGCCACTCTCGCTCTTGTACACGGGCGGCATCAGCTGCTTGGGGAGGAAGGGGTCAGCCGGTGGCCTGTCACTAGCACCCAGTCCGGGGAAGGGGGACATGGAGAAAGTCCTTTGGCCTTCTGGGGCCGTGCTGGGACCCAGCAGAGGCTGGACGGGGGCGGGGGAGGCAGGGTCCTCCGATGCGGGCAGTGCGAGCTGCTGGGGTGAGGGGTACGACTGCTCCGTGTCCTTCACCGACTCGTCCTCGGAGGGATCCTCCTCTAGAGACCAAAGAGAGATGCGCACACTATAGTGCCGAGGCACTCGGCTGGGCCGGGCCCTGGGTGCAGCTGGGTGCCAAGCATGTGATGTCAAGAGGCACCCAGAGGCATCGGTCACTGCTGGGAGGACCCCGTTGCACCTCCTCCCGTGCAGAGGCGCCCACCTGGGACTGCACTTTCTTGCCCCGTGTGAGCTGAACTTGAGCTTGGCACCCAGCTGCTGTCTGCGGTGGGCTGAGCAGGCGGGTCCCAGCCTCATGGCTGATCCCTATCGCATGCCCTGGCCTGCCTCATTGCTCACCCCTGATCAGGCTATTGTAACTCCCCCAGGGCCAGGGCCCAGCTGCCCCACAGCCAGCGAGACCGGATGCCAGGCAGGGCTCTTCCGCCTGTGGCTCTGAGACTGTGCCTTGGGGAACGGGGCGGGATGGGACAGGCCGGACAGTGCTCCCGGCTCCCGGATGCCCCGCTCCTGGGTCCAGGGACCGTTCTGGAGGCTGCATCTGTGTTTGCTGGTGAGGGAGGCTGGCCTGCAGAGAGCCAAGCAGGGGGAGCTCCCCACCCCCAGTCCCACAGCAAACCAGTGCCACCTACCAGCGCTGGCCAGGAGACTGGGCTTCTCCAGGAGGTACTTCTGGGGTGGGTAGGAGTCTTTCCCTATCAGCAAGGCCTCGTCTGACTTGGATATGCCCTGAAGGAGAGAATGCAAGTGGAGAGGGGGTTAGCAAACACCCAGGGGCCACAAAGTATTCCCCTTGCCCTGTGCGGTGCTGGCACTTGCCTGGGAAAGGCTGCAGTTGGCTGAGGCCAGCTTCATCGCCTTCAGGATGCTGGGGAGAAACAGCACAGAGTTAGTCTCTGCTTGCTCCCCGCGTTTGCTGCAGCTAGGTCAGGCACTGACAAGCGAGGGGGAAAGGGCTTCAGGGATGGCGCCCGGGACATCCCCTCTGCCCCAGAAACCCAGGACTTGGAACAGGAGGGAAGGGCTATTCACAAAGAGCCCGCGTATCCCGCTGCAGTGCTGCACTGCCGCACTGTCGTCAAGCCAGCAAGCTTGATGACATGTGACGTGCTCGCTGCAGGACGCTCGGTCTCTCCTGACGCACGTGTGACCTCTCCTGGCCCCCGGTGGGGAGGCCGAGTCCATCCCGAGCTGGGAGCAGGGAGCAGGGAGGATGCCAGGTGTGGCACTGCGCTCTGCCCTCAGCAGCAGGGCTGGGAAGAGGGGCACGCGGGCAGCCGGGCACTGACCTCAGCTCTGTTTTAATCTCCTCGTAGTCAGACTGGGCCTGCAGCTTTTCTTCCAGCCTCTGGACAACGCAAGAGAGCAAGACATTGGCTAGTACAGTCGGCCCTTCCGCGCAGTCACAACCCCAGGGCAGGCAGGGTTGCTACTGCCTGCTCGTTGCCAGCTTTCCTTCTCCCACCTCCAGGCCCAGGGCTCTGCCCTGCCCTTCCCTTCCCTCCGCATGACCAGGCTGCTGCATACACTGCAGGTCTGTGCCGGGAAGTCCAACAAGAGAAAGACCGAGGGGGAAGCCCCCTGCCAGGGCTGTGCCAAGCTGGTCCTGGGCTCGGAGGTGGGCTGCATTTGCGCAAGCATCCGGGCAGACCCCCCCTGGGGTGATCCCTGCCCCGCTCCCCGCCGCAGGCTCCAGGCTCCTCCTGCACAGGCCGGCGCGTACCTCGATGGCCTCGTTCTTGGCGGCCAGCTGCCGCTCCAGGTCGGCGATCTGGTTGGCCGAGGACTCCTCCAGCTCCTGCAGGGAGCTCTGCAGATGCTGCACATCCTTGAGGAGCCGCAGGATCTCCCGGTCCTTGGCTGCCAGCGCCGCCTCCAGCCGGGCCCCCGAGCACATAGAGTAGTTCACCTTGTCCTGCAAAGGGAGGGCGACAGCCATGAGGCTCCCTGTGGAGCAAGAGGCACTTCTCCAAGTGCAGGGAGTGACTACACCCTGGCAGCCTCTGCAAGTTCCCCTTGGGGCACATCTAACCCCGCCAACATGGAGGCACCAGCCCCACCGCCCTGTGACCCACCCGGGGTTGGGACAGGGCTGTAGCAAGGTGGAGGCTGGAAGCGTTGGCTGGGGAACAGCTGCCAAGAGAGGAGGCCAGTGCCGCTGGCAGCTGCATACTGGTGGCTGGCGGCAGGCTGAGCATGCGTGGGGCAGCGTTAATTAAGGAAGCTAATTTGGATGGAGCCACAGCACCTCCGCTCCGCAGACTCCTACGCGGGTGCTATTAGCCAAGCCGCCAAGCACCTGCTCTGCAACTCCTCGACTGCACCGATGTCCGGGACAAGCTGGATCTCGCAACCAGCTGCCGCCCCAGCCCTCCCACGAGAACCTGCCCCGCAGGCCTGCGCGTGGGGGAGACCGCAGCCTGCCGTCGCTGCAGCCTCGGGTTGTGGGCCGACTCCCCCAGCCGAAGGCCCAGCCAGCTGCCTGGGGAACACCATGCTCCTCACCCCGCTGGGGCCTTGCGGAGAGCAGCAGGCCAGGAGAATGGAGCTGTTGACAGACGCTAGCTGTTCCCGCAGGCTCTCCACCTCCCGTTGCGCAGCCTCCGCTCGCTGCAAGAGAGAGACGCCGTGGTATCAGGTCGCCCGTGGTGGCCTCCACGTCAGGGTCACACAGGCACGTGCTCCACCGGAGCTCCCCGCCCAGCCCTCGTGCCACAGGGTGCTGTGGCAAGGCCAGAGCCGTGCTGTCGTAATGCTGATGTGAGGCCCCGCGTGGCAGCCAACGCGTGGGCCGAGCAGAACCGCCAGCCTTTGCCACATGCTGCCTGCACGAGTCAGGAAAACAGGCACGAGACAGGCTTTGCGGCCTGGCGGCACGGCCCTTCCACCTGCATCAGGGAGGACGCTGCATCTCCCATCCTGCTGCCTCCTCTGGTGCCTTTCAGCTGGACGCAGCCACGCAGCCGTGCAGGCTGCTGGGCTCCGATCACCCAGGGGGTCTGGACCCAGCGTGTGGCTGAGCAGCTGCAGCCTGATGCAGAGCAGGCCCAGCCAGCCCCAAACTCGGAGCCGGGGTGGGGGCTGGCCCTGGTGCTTCCAGCACCTCTAACTGGCTGTCTCAGTGTGAGGCCCCCGTGCTGGGCACTGGAGCCCTAGTCACCTGCACATTAGGAGACCCAGGCACAGGCCCATCCCTGGGTCCCAGCCTGACTCCAGCATGGAGAACCATATGCTGTTCAGCTAAAATGCCTTCTCATTGCAGCTGGGAATCTTCTACTTCCTGACCTGGGCTTACGTGGAGTGTTACTGTGCACTGTCCGACAGCCGCGTCCTAGAGGTGGCTGCATTTCAGGGATGTCTAAAAGCAACACCCACGCGCCCCCTCTATACCCCTTAAAGGCTGTGTTTATGTTGCTAGTTAACTATATTTTACTAATCACATTAAGTCATTTGTATGCGAATGTCATGATTAATTTAACGATGAACAAATTACTAGAAATGGAGAAAAGCCACGGCCTGAGTGCGCTGTTTTACCCAGCCCCAGGGAAGTGCCATGACAGATCCCATATGTAAAACTGGCTGGGTAATAACATCTACAAGCCTCAGACATGGGGGTGCCTCTCCAATAAAGCTGCAACAGTCAAGGCACACACCAGTGAAGGGGGCCAGCTGCTGCTGTTGGGCTCTTGCATCTGCACATAACCCAGTCGCACTGGTCTAGGGTTGGGTGCCTTGCGCACCTCTGAGCAACAGCAGCCTCCTTCCCAGCGGTGCCAGATCTAGCACTTACCTGGGTATCAAGATCACCCTCCTCCTGAGCCCTGCAAGTCAGGCTTAGTCCAGTGTCCCTGCTTTGAGCCCAGCCCTGGGGGACAGGACGGCTCGCTCACCCCTGGCACTGCCCGGGCTCCCTGCCGCAGCTGGCTCCACCCCTGCCTGGGGCTGCTACAGAACGAATCCGCTCCAGTCCGTGGCTAAAGGCAGGGAGCGAAGGGAAGGTGCTCGCTGCGCTGAGCCTGGCTTGCTATAAATGCAGCGGCAAGGGGCTCTTCTCACCTGATTGGCTTTTTCAAGGTTGGTCATGATCATGGCTACTTCGTCCGCCCTGCAACAGCAAAGCAAGAGCAATTAGCTGGGACAGGCACGCACTCCATCCCCGAGACGTGCCAGCCACGGCACACAACCTGCCCCTGCTACACGCCACTGTGGCTGGGGCCGGGTGGATGGGGAGCACACTGCTCACGCCTGAGAAACGGTGTGAGTGGGATCCCCACCAGGTGCCTTCAGAGAGGCTGGAGCAGCTGCCTGGATGACCCCCTGGCATGAGGACAGTGTGGCAGCTGTGATCCCCCCCGTACCACACCTCAAGTCAACCTCGACTGCTCGTCCTCGAGGGGCGAACAGAAGTTCAGGCCCCACGGCCCACTCGAGCCTTGGCTGCCCCGTGGCAACAGCCAGCAAGGAGGCCGCTTGTGCCAGCTGCGATGCTCATGTTGTAAAGCGGGCACCTGTCCATTAGGAACTGGCCCTGGGCCACCCTGGCTCATTTCACACAGGCCAACAACCAGCCATTAGCTGGGAACGACTACAGGTCATTAACGAGCCGTGCCCATCTGCGAGCTGGTGAGCTCAACATGAAAGCCTCCGTCTCCACCTGCCAGGCCTGCACACCACCCCCTCGGCCGCCGGATAGCTCGAGAAACGTCTCCTTCCCTCTTGATCCCGGGCTGTTTGTCAACAAGGAATATTTGCATCTGCTTAATTGCCTCCCACCCACCCTTTCACAAGTCGTTAAGAGCTGGCAAAGCTGAACAGGACATGGCGGCAGATCTGTTTACTGTGTGAAGGTAAATATCCAACATGTCTAATTTGTGGTCTCTGGTCCCAGCTACACAACTCATGCTGGCTGATGAATTAACCACACATAAACACACCAGCTGAACCCAGACAGGGGCATCTGAAACCCCCTGGATGGGGGCTGTAACGGAGACCAAGGGACAGGACAAACCCCCTTTTCATCTCTGTCGTTGTGCGCCCGGAGTCTCCGGTCCTAATCAAAGGGAAAATTATTTACAGGCGCACGCTGTACAAATGGCATATCGAATTATCAAACAACATCTGCTTTGGTATTATACGATTAAGTGTCCTGACTCTGATGTACAGTGTGTGTGTGTGTGTGTGTGTGAGTGAGTGTGCGAGTGCGTGTGTGTGTGTGAGAGGGCCGTGGTGTGCGAGCGAGGCCAGCAGAACATTTGAACAGCTGTAAGCATTTGGCAGCCTCTGCGGCTGGCGAAAGCCAAAGAGAGGGAGAAGATGTTCCTGACTCATAAAAATAAATGGCACCCGACCAACAAAAATAAGAACGGGCAAATGGACATTTAATGGAGTGGAGGAGTCCGTTAAACGCATCCCGCTGCCTGAGCTCGCCCTGCCGGGCTGGGTACACTGTGCACAGTGCCAGGTACAGCACTGTCATGCCTGGAAGAAATTGGGGGTCATCCTGAAATTTGAAGGAAGGCCTGATGAGAGTCATACCCAGGGACAATGTCTGTACCTGCAAGGCAGTGTCCCCACGGTCCCCAATGCGGGGCTCAGCCCGTCTGCTGCAATGTTCAGCTCAAATCCCAGCATTTGCTGATGTGAGGGACGGTGCTGACATCTGAGGCAGAAGGGGGAACTGGACTTTTACCACAGGGCCATCGCCAGCAAAACGCAGAGGCCATCCCCTGCCCTGCCCCTGGACGGTCTGCCTCTCCAAGCTGCTTCCTCGAGCAGCTACTGAGAGCCCTGAGCTCTGGCCTTTGCTGTGAGGCCCCCGTCGCCTCTGCCACAACAACAGTGGCCCACCTCTGCCCTCGGCCACGGGCCTGAGCCTCTCGCTGGCATCCAGGGCTGGAACTGGGATGGGAGCTTGGTGTTTCTTGGTTCCCGGTCCCTGGCTCAAACCACAGGCCCACCTCACTGAGCTCTGCCTTGTCCCGGCATACAGCCATGGCACCACTACCAGCAATCGCTTGCTCCTGAAAACAATTCAGATTCTTGCAGACCGCCTAGCTCACCCCGCAGGCATCCATGTACTCTGCTGACCGCTGACCTCGTGCTGGGGCCAGTCCCAGACACACTCCCCATGCCGGCAGCTCCCTGGGGATGCTGGAAGCCCGGCTGCCTGGCTCCAACGCTTCCTGCAGAGCCTCAGCCCCACTACGTCTGCTTTGCTCTGGTCTGATGGGGCAGTGGGAGGATTAAGGACAAGGGGGGCTTCCAAGTGGCACAGAACCAGCAGAGACAGCCAGGGATGCAGCCACGGGGTTTCTGCCATGATTTCCCAAGAGGTCACTGACTGCGGGGATGGCCCCAGAAGAAAATTATAGCCAAGTACAATTTAGAGCCAGTCCTACGCTGCTCTAAGTAGCATTTTGGGTAGAAATGGCCCTTGTGCCAGGGTTGAAGGAACTGAAGCAACATTCGTCCCATCCCCTGCAGCCCTGCACTGGGTCTGGTTAGACCAGAGGCTCTATCCATGGGACACCTGGAGCCCACACCACATGGGTGGGGATGCCCGTGGATAAATTGCTGGCTGTGCTGGCTTTGCAGGTGGCTGGGACAAGTCATGCTACATCGGGTACACAAGGCAGTGCCTGGCTGCGGGAAAGCGCAAATTCCCAAACAGCGCGTTAAGACAGGGCCTCTTTGGCGGCTTCGCTCAGATGCAACCTCTCCACATGGGTCAGCCAGACAGACAGCCCGAGGGACTTACTTTGACGCTGCCTCTTCGTCATATTTACACCGCAGCTCCAGCAGCTCCGTCTGGGTGGCCTTTAGCGCTGAGCACCAGGAAAAAGTAAAAGCAACATGCAGTGAGCACTGGGCTCTGACAGGGGAAGATCCACCAGGCACCAGCCTGTTGGAAGATGACTCTGCCTGCTCTGAGCAGGCAGCCCTGTCCCCTGCATGCTGCCGCTGTCCCCGCTGCAGTCCAAGGAAGGAACATTTTACCCACTTCCTTTTGCCTTTGTTCTTGCGTAAATGGAGGCAGAAAAACCATGGGGAAAGTCAACCCCCCAGGCGCAGAGAGCCTGAGCCCATGGGAGCTGTGCCTGAGTGGAGCCTGCAGCCTGGGGGCACAGAGCAGGGAAGGCCCATTGTGCTCCAAGGAGCTGGCAGCAGCTCACCATCCCTCAGGGGCTGCCTGACACCTGGCAGGAATGCAGGATTTGGCCCTTTCCCCTCACAGAGACCAGGTCTGGGGTGGGGAACGGGATGAGGAATAACTCTACATCCTGGTGTGGGCTTGATCCGGGCCTTCATGACATGGGCACCTCTTCCCACGGACTGCCCATGGATGCCACACTCACTTTGGCAGGCAAGGCCAACAGAGCCTGTGCAGCCCAGTCACAGGCCCCAGGGTCATTGCCACGCAAGTGCACGGCCACCTCCAGGCAGGCCCTTCCCCTTGCCACGTGTGCAACTCCAGCTTGCACCAAATGCCCTGGCAGAAGAGCTGTGCTCACAGGGGCAGAGCTGAGTCCAAAACGTGTCTGAATGCAGCAGTGGGAAGGGAGCCCTGGGCTCTAAATCTCCTGTACCTGAATGAAGCACTTTGATCTTTTCTTCTGCTTCCCCCAGCCGAGCAGCCAAAGTGATCTGTGCTTCCTGGAGTCCCCTGTGAAGAGAAGCGCAGCAATTGTCACCTTCCACATTTGTACACAGCTAATCCCTGCCCAGGACGGGACCTGCCAGCGACTGCCGTGCATGGCTCCCAGGGGGGTAGAAGTCTCCTTGCCTGGGCCCTGAACACACGCTAAGCATTTTATCTTTTTCACCACGTGCTTAAAGCCCATCGTTCAGAAGTTACACCACAGAAAGTATAGACTCATTGCAGCCGAGACATTTTCATGCCACTAGAGTTGTCAGCGTTTCCATTAAAAACTTCTATTTCCAGGGCTTTATAGCGCTGGCCATAAAAATTCACTTCAGGCTGAGAACTCGGCATGCTGGATCCCAGCCCAGAAACAAACGTTGGGCCAAAAATTTATTAGGAGAATTTTAAAAAGGACGAGAGAGGGAGGAAAAGAAGGGATGTGAAGCTACCTGGCTGTTTCTGAGCTGCTGCGTGGCGCAAAGCCACGAGGGCTCTGACAGGCCCGTGGAGACAGCATCCAGGAGGGCCGCGTGCACAGCGCTGACACCAGGCCCCCCTATTTTAGACACAGCCACTGCCCCAGCACAAGTAGGTGGAAGAGAAGCGGCTGGACAGGTTGTGCAGACGGTGCCGCTGCCCTTGTTAATCCAGGCTGGATTTCTGGCTTTTCTTTCTCTTTTTTCTTTCTTTCTTTCCCTCTCTATTCCCTATAGACAAGCATAAGCGAGCTCAGACTTAGGATAAGCTTTAACATTTTTATTTTGGTAGCAAGTTTTTGGTTTTGGATATCCAGTGTTTTATATGGTATTATTATTAGGTTTGTATTGATCCTTACTGTTGTATATTGTATTATTATCATTTTCGTATTGATTTTTATTGTTTCATATGGATATTGTATGGTTTAGGCCTGTGTTTGTAAGTGAACCAAAGTAATGTCAAGTCTCCATCTTGTGTCCTCTGCCCGGGCATCCCCTGTGTTGCTACTGTATGAGTCACGTACCCCTCCCATGTAAATTGGTTCCCGGATGAACAAGAGTGATTGGGAATGACTGAAATACAATGGTAGCAGGCCTCTACTGAATGGCCTGTAACGACTGGGCCATCACCTCACATTGATTCATCCAGCAGCCACGGACCTCACCCAGGAACAGAGACAAGAACCCAGCATTTGAAAGACAAAAGACCCTGCAGAACCAGCAACTCTACCATTGTACCCCACCATTACAGACACCCGAAACT